GAGCCGATGCGCTGCTGGTTCTGCCGGACTGAATAGAATATAATGTCTATAGCCTTACTGTTGTGTACAGCCTTATAGACTGAGTAGTGATGTGCGGGTCAACCCGTAACCCGCGGGACCCGCAAATGGACCTGCGGGTCGGGCAGCAGTGATCGTCTGTTAAATCGGTCTATAAATGATATTTTGACATTATTGGCTATTACTGTCATGTAGGGCCGTAACGGTACATGTATTTGTGTCGAACCGTTCGGTACGCGACTTTCGGTTTGGCACGACCCTGTACCGAATTACTGGGCGCAGGATATTATTTTATTTTATTTTGTTTTTTTTTAATTCCGTTTTTGCGAGCCGAACCATTTAAAATATCTAGTTCCCCGACGGACATAATTGAGTGACGGACTGAGTCCGACCGTAAATCTCCGCTTTCACTTTGTGCAGTGCATTCTCGCATTTTGACAACATGGCAAGTGAGCCTGACGAACCTGAAGACCCACCCGCAAACCTTAAGTCCTCCGTTTGGGAACACTTTGGTTTCAGGGTAAAATACGAAGATGGAAATAAACAAGTTGACAAGACAAAAGCAGTGTGCCGACACTGCAGAACAGCGGTCGGGTATGTACTTGGAAACACGTCTAACATGCTAACGCATCTAAAGCTACACCACCCGAGTTTGAACGTTAACCAGCACGACTAGAAAAAGCAATCTGGTGCAAACTACGATATCGTCGTCGTTTAAAAAGAAAGAGCGTTTCCCTGACCATTCCGCTAAAGAAATAACCAACGCCATTGGAGTTGAGTAAAATTGTTTAAGCTGCACTTTAGATATAAGCATGTTTTGTTTACTGCACTTTAACAAAGTGGGAAAGCTAAGTAAGTTCCTAGTAAAACTGAATCTGAGCAGGCTTTAAAGCTGACCAGCTGCACTATACTTTTTATTTTAATTGAGTAAAACTGTTTAAGCAGAAATGTATATTTATATTTTTCATTCAAAAATTTGTGTTAAAAAAAAAGCAGGATTTTATTTTTCACTTTTATATTTCTATTTTCATTCAGACAATGTGAAAAAGCAGGATTTTATATATATTTGTTTCATTCAAAAATTGTGTAAAAAGAGTTAACTGCTGTGGTGGTATGTTTTAATAAGGTTACCAATAAGTAAAAGATATTTAATAGTTGTCTATTTTTTTCATTACTGTACCGAAAAAAAAAAAAATGAACCGTGACTTGTGTACCGAGGTACGTACCGAACCGAGATTTTTGTGTACCGTTACACCCCTACTGTCATGGCATCCGAAGGTACTGATGTGTTGAGCAGGTGACAGTCCGCGGTCGTTTTCAAAACACACTTGTGTCACGCACTCCAAAAGAAACTTGTTGAAACTTTAAACAATAATTTATTGTACAAAATGGGGGAAACAGACGTTGATAAAAACGTTTCCATAATTCATATTAAATTCAAAAGATAACGAAAAAACAGCTTCAATTTAGAGGGAATAGTGATAAAGTGGTAAAACTTGGCATTGATCCACAGCCTCAGACGGATGCGCTCAAGCGTGCCGTTCGCACAAGCTCAGTTGGTAGGCGATACTATATTTTCACATTTTTAACAATGCAATTTAAAAGTTTTGATTTTTATTGATAACCTACATTTACCAACAACATAAAGACTACATTTAGCACCAAAAAAATATGTGAAAGAAAAAAAGTAAATAAAAAAACGAATATCGAATACCAAATTTTCATAACAAATACCTACCCACAGAAACGAATATTCGAATATCCGAATGTTTGGGTACAGCCCTAGAATTTTCATTTTTGGATACACTATCCCTTTAAGTGCTAAAGTGCATTAGGGTTAAACTCCAGGAGTTCAGAGCATCTATCAAGAACACCAGGCACTTAAAGCACAGAAACAGGAGGCGCCTCACAACTTAAAACAGCGAGCAAAAAGCTTCATGCTCATCATTAACTATTACAAACAGCCACCTCCAGCTGCAAAGCTTCCTGCGTGGTCTGGGCCTTAGGAGTGTCTTTTTCAGACACAGCATGGGAACAGGCACTGAAAGGAAAAAAAAATCCTTGGCAAAACTCCAGCTTATGCAATTCAACATTTGGCACAGGGTGTATTACAAGAGATCCACACAGTCAAGGATAAACCCTGAGAGATCTGATTCCTATAAAAGATGCTCTGTAATCTCATACATGCCCTGCTCATGCCCAAAAATGGCTGAAATATGGAATCACTTCTTTGAGATCGTCTCGCTGGAACAAGCAAATGAAATTTCAATTTCATTTCATTCAAATGACAGCTCGCAGGAGAATGCTTCTTCTTTGGAAACAGACCTGGAGAAGAGTAAGCTCTCACAGTCACTGGCTGCACCTTATTTCCTACTGTAGGAATCTGTCCCCTGACACCTGCTTCATATCATCAAGCCTGATATTCACTTAAAGGGTGAACAACACTAAATATCTTAATAACGTAAGATCACCTGCCTTTAATCTGTTCTTCTTTATAGAATTTTCCTGCTGTGGTTCATTGATTTCAGTTCTTATGTCTTTTCTCTTTCCTTTCTTTTATAATTGATGCATTTTCATAGACGTGTGTGTACGTATGAATGCTGGGTATGTGTCACATCAGGATCAAAAACACACAGATTGTGTCAGAGACAAATACTGAATAGACCTCCGAGTGCTTCCTGTGATGATCTGAACTTCCTGCCTCTTTACTGTAACACTTGACTTTTGTTTGCTGCAGGGATTAGATAAAGTATGCTGCCACGGATTATCAACTGTGTAATAAACTGTGATAAACTGTGTGTGTGTGTGTGTGTGTGTGTGTGTGTACTCTTCTGCCACCCAGTGATCATCGGAGTCATGTGCAGGCTCCATGACATCATTATGACTCATCCAGTCACCACACACACAGTTCAAGTGTTGCTCTGTGGTAAACACTTGGTCTATTTGCTGTTGACGAGGTCGATCCTATTTGTTCTGGTCGATTCTGTTGTACGGCAGAACCCCGAAAAATTAAAGCCCTTAAAATAACTGTTTTTTTGTGATGTAAAAAATGAAACCAAGATCGATCATGTCAAAACTTTTGTCACCTGTAATGTGACTCAGAACCTGAACGATGCAGCTGAAAAACAAACAAGTCTTTGAGGGGGAAAATGTCAAACTAACACTTGGTTGAAGCATGTTTTTACTGGTTGTCTCAGGTCTGGACTCTGGCTGGGCCGTTCCAAAACTTTAATCTTCTTCCATTGAGCCATCATGACCGTGTTGCACGAGGTCCAAATCTTTACACGTTTCTTCATGCTCCTTACACTGAACAAAGCAGGTAGACTGGCCCACTACAAATAACATGTCAGTTTCAAACTAAAGCCTAGTTCACATTACACCATTTTCACCCTGATTTCGCGTCGTGGAGACTATCGTAATCTTTTGAGTGTTCATACCTGGCGACGTGTGTTTCTGTCAGCTGGAGTCTCGCCAACTGCGTTACGACCTGTGTGTGCACACCACAAGATTTCTCCACCGAGCCCTCGCCGACAGAGCCCCAGATAACGCGGTGACGTCACCAAACTTGGAGACGACACATGGTAAAGGCATGGATATTCTTTATTATCCTGGGTCCAAACACAACGCGCTCCCCGTGATCCTGTGGACGCCGCCATTGTTGCTGTTGCTTGCTGGTTTGTCAGTGTTGCCAGATCTTGGGAGAGAAACAAGCAACCAGGGCTTTGGAAACAAGCCCAAAAGAAGCGACTATCATGTGTTTAAATAACTTAATAGACGGATATATATAGAGGAAGATGACGTTTAGAGAGCAAGCCCGAATAAGCAACTCCACTTTAGTCGCAGCTAATAAGCAGACCTGGCAACCCTGCGGCTTGTCCTCCTCACATGTCTTCCGTCCGCCTGCGTGCTGACGTGGGATGTATCCCGCCTCTCATTGGCTGATGCTCTTTGTCAGTCGTGGCAGACTATCTGCCGACTCACCTCCGACCCAAGGTGGCTCTCAAGATCCTCTGCGACATCAAAATCGCGGTGAAAATCGTGTAATGTGAACTAGGCTTAAGAGGCGGGGCATGCACCCTCTAGTGGCGTAGTTAGTGTCTTTCTGCCAAAGAGTGCATTTGGCATAACCTGGCTTATTGATCTTCTTAAAAAAATCTGAAATTTTAAAAGTGTGTGCGGCTGCCTGGACCTCAACTGTAACGTCAAGGTTAAGTCAAGACCATTTCCAGCTGCACTTGCATCTGTTGCACCAGAAGAGCTTCACTCTCCTCAATTCTCTCATTCTGCAAATGAACAAAGTTGAATGTTTCAGCAAATCTACCAAAACAGAGCGCGGTCCATCCAGCTACAAGGTCAGTGTTTCCCCGACCTCTGCTCTCTGTAGCGCGCGCGCAAAATTTTTGATTTGTTATCCGAGCATCATTTTGTTTGTGTTAGTGGAATTATTAATCAGACTCTTCCACGTCCACGCCACCGCAATGTTCCACCCCTCAAAGGTTTGTTTGTTTCTCAGCTGCACTGTTCAGGTTCTGAGTCACATTAAAGGTGACAAAAGTTTTGAAATGATTTTTCTTTTTTAAATCACGAAAACCTGGCATTTTAACAGAGGTGTGGAGACATTTTATAACCACTGTACGTTGAATAAAACGTAAAATAGAGGCAAAATTTGAAGCAAAAATATTTGAACACATCAGTAGTCCCCAACCTTTTTCCTTAAGCAACCCTTTTTCTATCACTGAGAAACTGACGAGTCCTGACTGAGTGACACGTGTGATGGATATTTAATATTATATTAAATGCATTAAAATACAGTACAGAACAACTGAACACAGTGACTGGTTTCTTTACGACTAATTCAGTGCCTCCTTCTCCCTGACTCTCGGCCATTGTTGTATCACTTCGTGGTTGTTTTCACTGAGCGCATTTCTAAAGCAGGACGAGGCTGTTCCACAGAGAGGGAAGGCTGCTGCTTTTGTTCCTACCTGTCTCCAGCAGTCAGAGCTCCCAGTTTCTCCTCCCCGGGCTGCGGGGGTGAAGGGTCGTCCAGGATCTTCTGGATCTGGTGCTCGATCTCTCTGGGAGACAGCAGGCGGCCGGCCCGGTACACCCACAGGCGGAAATAACGACCTTTGTGATACACCGCCACAAACTCACTGTCCTGCCAGTGCTGGAGCACATCTGTGGACCGGAGGAGGATCATTATCTGACGTCTGCTCTGATCATACATTTTACTGCGGTGATACATCTGCAGGATCCCACCTGCAGTTCATACGACTGAAACTCATCTGTAGCGGTAAAGTGTGTGCAGCTGTATATGTGTGTGTGTGTGTGTGTGTGTGTTACCTGTCTCAGCTCCTGGTGTGCGTGTTGTGTTGAACATCCTCTCACACTGAGCGGCACACAGAGGGATGACGGTGCCTGGGACACGACTCTGACACACACAGACACACACACATCTGTTATTCACATTTATTTTTTATTTTAACATTCACAGTTATTTTTCTGGACTAGAAGAGATGACAGTTAAACACATACATGACAGCGGGACATCAGCGTGTGCCATATCATCTGGTTTACCGGTATAATTTTTAATATGATTCTAAATTCATATAGAAATGAATTATGGCACGACAGAATTCATCTCCCATGTTTTGTTATCATGGTGCGGCTCTGTTTCTCACAGGCGAGGACGTGGAGGACAGAGAGCATCCGGCAGAGTGTTGTTTGTCTCTGTCTGAGTTTGTTTGTTTCTCACTCACAGACAGGACTGTGTATGAACACCGGATTGTTTTTCAGCGCACACACAGAACAGACAGCTGCAGACTGTGAGGAGATGGACGCTGAATTTACCAAAAGTGCGCTGCACTCTAATGTTCTCTAAGAATGTCGTTCTGTGTTGTCACAAAACTCAGGGTGAAAGAATCCCGTTGCAAAACGCGAGGTGCACTGAACGGCCTTCTTTTTTCTTTAACTGAATGCCACTAGTAAGAAAACGCTTGCTGCGCCTTTTTATCGTTACTAGGCAACCACTCCATCACCTCCTCACCCTAACCTTCCCATGTAGTCAATCTGCAGTTTATGTATCCTGCAGTAATCAGTGTGTAGCTGCTGCCATGTTGAGGCAGAGGGTGCTGTCTGTAGCTCTGGTTGAGGGTGAGAGGCTGTCAGCAGATAAACAGAGATCTGTGTGGGTACATGAGACCCTAAAAAAGAGGCTGGATCATGGGGAGTACCACCAGTTGGTCCAGGAGCTTCTCCTCCATCATGGACGTTTACAGGCAGATTTTAGGATGACTCAGGGGCAGTTTGACAACCTGCTGTTTATCATCAGGCCATATAGCTCTGGGTATCCAGCAACCACTACCACCAGTTTCTCCTCCATTGTTCACCAACTGTAAACTTGTTGTGACCACCACAGAAGCCCCGCCTCTCAGATCATCTCATTGGACGATGGGTAAAAAGCTGAGATGTCGTGAGGCACTATTCTGCACTGAGTTGAAGTCAGCTCGATGTTGGAGACATTACAGACACACTGTCTTGTTCCAGACCTCTGGCAGAGTCGCCATCCTTCCCACAATACAATACATAAATAACCAAACCTGAGCACAGTTCAACAATTCCACTTGATCTTACCGGTTTCAGTTCCTCCCGGTTGACCTTGCGGCGGTACAGCAGCAGAGCGGTGATGGTGTTTCCTGCTCTGGCAGCCTGCACTGGAGTTGGAGTCACATACAGGAAGTCCTGGAATACACACACACAAGACATCAGGACTAAAACAAACACATCTCGTGCAGATGTAGGGTTATAACAACACAACAAGATGTAGGTCAGAGGGTTTCTCAGCTGTAGTGAAGACATCAGTTACCATGCCGTAGTAGTTACTGTTGACCATGATGGGACCTCGGCTCCTCAGGTAGATGTACTCCTCCCACCAGTCGCTCACCTAGAACACAGGAAGAGGAAATCAAACGTCTTCACTCTAATAAACTGGATGAAACAAAACAATTCACTTCCTGAACACTGAAGGATTTCTTTTATGTATTTTGTGACGCTGACAGCAGCATGAATTCTGCAACCTTCACTTGACCCTGGAACATTTGTTCTGTGCTGTTCCAAAGTTTTTTAATTAAAAATTAAACATTCAGAGAGTCTTTTTTTTTTTTTTTGCAGCAAAACTTTCAATAGCAAGCAGAGCTGGTCCTGTAGTTTCTATTTGGCACATGAGAGAAAAATAATCTCGTCTTTGCAAGTCATGCTCTTTAACCTGGTCCTCTCCTCTTCATCCTCTACCTCCTCCCCCTCGGTCAGATCATCCGTCTTCACGGCCTCCGTTTCCACTGTTACGCTGACGACATCCAGCTCTACATCTCCACCAAATCCATCACCTCTCAGACCTACTCCACCCTCTCAAACTGTCTCTCTGATATCAGACACTGGATGCAAACAAATCTCCTCAAACTCAACTACGACAAATCAGACTTACTCATAATTGGTCCAAAGTCCCTCAGCCTGGCAGCCAAAGACTTCCATCTCTCTATCGACAACTCCACCCTCTCCCCCTCCCCCCACTGCCGCAACCTTGGAGTCGTCTTTGACAGCAATCTCTCCTTCAACCAGCACATCAAGCAAGTCACCAAATCAGCATTCCACCATCTCAAAAACATCGCCACCTCCGCCCCTCTCTCTCCTTCCCTGCAGCTGAAACCCTCATTCATGCTTTTATTACATCTCGTATCGACAACTGCAACAGTTTCCTCTACGGCACAACCTCCAATCTCCTCAATAAACTTCAGTATATCCAGAACTCTGCTGCCCGCCTCCTCACCCACACCCGCTCCTGTGACCACATAACCCCTTCCTGCACCCTCCGCTCCTCTGACGCCAACCTCCTCACCGTACCTAGGACCAAGCGCCGCACCTGGGGGGAGCTTTCTCTGTTGCTGCCCCCACCCTCTGGAACTCCCTCCCACAACACATCTGCGGCTGCACAGACTTCACCTCCTTCAAAACTCAACTCAAAACATACCTGTTCTGTTCTGCATTTAACTTACAAATTTAATCCATCCTACTTCCTTCTTGCTCTTCCCTTGTATCCGCCTAACTTTGTAATGTCAGCACCCTTATTTGTCTACAACCAGTAATTTTTTTTCCTCTTTTGTCTGCTGTTTTGAACTCTTGATTGAATTTCCCTGCATTTTTTTATGCCTGTAAAGTGTCTTTGAGTTTTTGAAAAGCGCTCTATAAATAAAATGTATTATTATCATTATTATTATTATTATTATTATTATTATTATTAACTGTCCAGGAGCTCTGCTTTGTATGAATGCAAAAAAAGTTGATGTATGGACTTTAACTAGAAATCTATTCAGTGCTTATTTAAAACTATTAACTGTTGTAGACAAAGAATATTTGTCTGACAGAATTTGTAGATCAGACCACACTGTGTAGTGTCGATGATGATATCTCAGCTCTAAACTTCTAATTTCTTACTTAATTTTTCTCGATGCTGTATTTTGATTTTTTTTTTTAAGTTTCTCAAATTTCTTTTTTTGTATGTTTATTTTATATTTTTTTAGACCCTTGTTTATGACCTGCCGATATCTTTATTCTTTATTTTACATGTTTGTATTTCTGATAAGAAAAGATGAAAAAAAAATCTGCATCACAGAAGGAAACCATATTCAGGATGTAACAGTGCCGGCCAGCAGCAGAGGTAGCACAGGTGAACGCCAAGGGCGCCATCATCAACACCTGTGAACACGCTGTATCACTATCATGTCACAGCGACTCAACAGCCACGACACCACTGAGAGGAGTGGATGTGGGGAGGAAGAACATGACATCAGCAGCAGGAGAGCTTGTTAAGTTAGCTGTTAGCTGTTAGCAGCTAGTTATCGTTAACACTAAGCAGTAAATTCTATCGTTCTCATGATGTGTTCAAGGTAATCTTGTAAAATGTAGCTTTTGGTGATAAACTTGAATTAAATCAGCTGTTTGAAGAAGTTAATGTGTCGTTGTTTACTGTAAAATGCATGATTCTTAGATCGTAAAAAGACTTTTTGGGATTTTTTTAAAGTTGATTTTCATGTGAGAGAGGGGGCGGCGCTCGCCTGGGGCACCAAATGTGCTAGGACCACCACTGGGATTTAATATCTCAGTCTGTCAGTGTGCTTCAGCTCCCACCAACTCTCTGAAGACACTAATAATTTCACTGTAACTACATGTGGCTGTTTGTGTTGATGTCTGTGAGCTGCGCTGTTTTTGCAGGCAGATTCATTTAGATAGAAACCCTTCAATAAATACCTGCAAACAGCACAGGAGCATTAAGACACTGCTTGTTTGTCTTATTTTTTGTGGGTTAACGGCTGCAGGAGGCAGCATGACTGAGTGACTGGGAGTTCATCCCAATATCCCTCCTCAACTCCTCTGTCCTCAGTCACCTGACCTGGAATCAACCGAGCCACCTTGTAGGACGTCTCAATCATCTCATCAGAGACAGACGGTGCTTCACGTGACGCTTCAGAGGAAAAGACGTCTAATTTCTCTAAAGGTATATTTCCTCATTTCTTCTGTCCTTGCATCTCTCTGCCGTTTCTTATGAGGGCGGAGCCAAGACGTGAGGAAGAGACGCAAGTGAGGGGAAACATGGGTGCAAGATCAGGTGCTGAGATGAACCCTGGGTGTGTCTTTCCTCGCAGCCTGATATCGATATGGTCAATACTTTTTTTTAACATTCCAGGGCAGAGACACGTCAGCCTAAACTCTGGGGACCAAACCATTAATCGACTGTCATAATTATTGCAGATTAATTTCGTGTCGATCAACTAACTCTTCACTGGACTGATTGTTTCAGCTCGGCTGTGTGTGGCACCGCAGCTCAAACAGCGAACACTTACGTAGTTGGTGGCCCACAGAGCTTTGAGCTTCAGGTAGCGCTGCAGCCGGTTTCCCAGGTTCGACTCAAACTGATTGGCCAGTTCAGTCATTCGTTTAAAGTCTGGATCCTTCAGCAGGGGGCGCACCGACAGCAGGTACTGAGACACGAACAGAACGTCAGGTTAAAGGTTAAACATGCACAAGAGTGCACCAACAGCTGTTCTGTATGTCTGAGCATGTGTTCAGGACAGGTGTGTACAGGTGTGTGTGTGTGTGTGTGTGTGTGTGTGTGTGTGTGTGTGTGTGCTCACCCTGCTCAGCGTGTCCTTGATGGCGGGAACAGGCAGGTGAGGCAGAGACGTCTGATAGCTGTACAGGAGAGGCTTCCTGCTGGATAATAACCTCACCAGACTCTGAGACAGACACACAGAGACATGAGACACACACAGACATGAGACACACACAGACATGAGACACACACAGACATGAGACACACAGAGACATGAGACACACACAGACATGAGACACACACAGACATGAGACACACACAGACATGAGACACACAGAGACATCTTTAGAGACATTTTTAAAGCGTCCTGTGACGGTGTCAGAGACCCTGCTGTTACAGCTGCCGCTGAACTCCATGTTTAATTTTGTCTCCATGACTCCAAACAGCCTCTGCAGAGCGTCCACCAGGTGGAGCTGTGACACAGAGAGGAAACTTACCACCCAGACTTTCGTGGTGTTGGAGATGCGGCCGTGCTGCTCGAACATCCACTGGTGGTAAGAAAGGAGCAGTTTGAGGCAGAAGCGCAGAGCGAGGATGAGCGAGAGCCACAGCAGAGTGCTGAAGACCAGCGCTGACAGCATGGTCTGACCCTGGGCGCTGAGCGGACCCTGGAGGCTGCGGAGAGAAACAGAACCGTGGTCAACTACACCTCAACGATTCACATCACACAGTTGGTTTGATTTAGAATTTGTTTAATTGCTTTTAACCTTACATTGCTAATGTGAACACACTGTAGGGTTACACAGGCAAGTCGTTTGATATTAATCATCTGTTTCTTTGTCTTTGAGTTACTGTGGGAAAGAAAAGCTGCAGCAGGGCCCTACACGTGTGTTTTGTTTCTATGACAACAATATCTTAACACTGTTAGCGAGGTGGCTAATGTAACAATACATTAACAGAGGTTTGAGTACACAGTTAATAACAGGCTGATGATAAAAGCAAAACAGCAAAAACACTCAGTTTCTGACTGACATACAGCTACAGTCAGATAGTAGCTAAAGGAGCGGCAGTGACATCATCAGCACCTCTCTGAAAAGTTCAGAGATTTTCAACTAGAAGTGCTCGGAGCTGCCGCACAAAAAAGGCGAAGTGCCCTGAAAGAAGACGCTGGGGGCGGTGCTTCTTTTGTCAGTGGCAGCACACACTCTCTCCTCAATGGGAACAAATCACTGCCCCATGGTTGTATGCCTCCTCGCACCAGTCAAGTTTCTCTGACAGTTTTCTCAATGTACACGTCTTGGCCAGAGAAGACAGATGGTGTGAAAGACGCTGTTCCAGTGTGGCGTAGATGGCTTCGTCTTTCACGCTTCTTTCACACCATCGTTAAACAGAGGAGGTGGCCTACGACACCACTTTTCACCCACCTACAATGCAGTCTCAGGATCCCTCCTCAGACAACTCCACACCCATTCACACCTCGACCCATCTGACCCTAACGACACACATGATGGCCCGGTGGGTCATCGATCCACATGTGACCTCAACGACACTAGGCCTGTTTCCACTGAAGAAGTTCCTGGTACTATTTGGGGGGGCAGGAACTACTACAGAACGTCCTCTCGCTCGGCCCTCTCAACCGCCGTGTCTCCACTGAGAGGGCGGAGTAGGAGGAAGGTTCCTGTAAAGTTACCGGGCTCTGGATGTGACGTAATCGTTGCATGACCATTTTTTGACCGGGCGCCGGTCCATTTGTCGTACGATTTGTCTTCCATTTCTTACTTTTCTTCTTTTAAAAATGCAACTCCTTGTCTGCTGAGTTTTAAAAATGCCGGCTATTTTGTTGCTTTCTGTTGACGTCACATCCCGTCTTGAATATATCCAATCAGCACCAAGTAATCCCCAAGCCTCAGCCAGGAGTTTTTCGGGGCCGTTCTGAGTACCTACTCCGAGGCAGGGACTTGTTTAGCCCCTGTAAAAGTTATGGAACTCTGTCCTTCGGGGGTGGTTCCTGCTGTGGAGACACGCACCAACGGCCCCGTCCCTGTAAAATTACCCTGAAGTTCCTGTGGTGGAAACGGGCCTACTGTAAGGGCTCACACCCACACAGAGTTTAAAGTGTTCGACTCCGCACCAGTCAATTAGAAGAAGAAAGAAAACTGAAGAAGCCTCTTGGATGAAACATGAAACGTCTTCAAGAAACTCAAGCAAGTCCTGATATCTATGATACAACACTGAGGTTTCCATCCATGAAGATCTATACAATCAGCACAGTTTCAAAATTAAAGTCACCAATTCAGTATCTGAGCAAATGTCTCCCCTTCTGTTCCTGAGATATGACGTTAAAATGTGATGATGTCACAGTCAAGCTGACCTTTGACCTTTTGACCTTCATTATTTCATCCTGTTAGATATTTGGGTCATGTTTTGTCAAAATTAGTGGATGAATTCTTGAGTTATGGCCAAACACATGTTTTGTGAGGTCACAGTGACCACAAAATTCTCATCGGTTTATTCTTCGGTCCAGGTGGATGTTTGTGCCAAATTTGAAGAAATTGCATCATAACAACAGTTCATCCGTCAGTTTTTAAACTTCAGCACCTCTGCAGACGTGTTTAATATCAGCTGGAGCTGCAGGAGCAAAACAACAAACAAAAACATTTGAAAACCAAATTATTTCTGACTGAAGGTCCTTAAAGAACATGTGAAAAGGAGAAACTGGTGGTTATAAATAAAGACCTGAAGTATAACTACGTGTTGAGGCACAGGAGGTCTGAGTGTGGTAACAAAAACTCCAATAATAAAAACAGCAATATGTCACATGTTTTATTAGTTTATGATACTCTATAAAACATTCATGCACCTCTGCGTGTGCTGTCAAACACATCCCACAGATGCTACTGTCATCTGTCAGTGTGTGTGCACCTGCACCGCCAGCAGAGGGCAGATCATTCACACTGAACACAGTGAGGAGATCAGAACCAGCTACACACGCAGCTGCAGTCGTCTGTTAACAGTTAGTAAAACTGGATCAAATGTATGTGGGTGTCAAAATCCTCCTGTTACATCTCACTCATGTGAGGAAACACAAGGAAGTAGTATGAATGTGCAACAGCACCACCTGCTGGTCACACTGAGAACTTTTCAGAGTCACACCAGGCAGGAAAAGGAAACACACATGTAGTATAAAAATAACATGTGGTATGAAGTCATGGTGTGTTAAATGTGCCCACAGTACAGTCTGTCAGGTGTCTGCAGCAAACTGTGGCAGGTGTTATGACGGTATTAGTCAGTCTGTCTGCTCTGTGTCACAGTGCTGCAATACAAATGATTAAAGTTGATGAACAGGCTGAAAACTTTATCTCAGGAGGCAAAACTGATGTCGACTCAGTTTTCCTTTGGTGAAATAATCTGCAGCTGGAAAAAGGTAATAAATCACAATATATATTATTGCATATATTTCATGCCTGTTACACCTACGACTGCGCTCCCATCCACTCCTACACATATATTATCTGCAGATAACATCACTGTGATGGAGACACAACCACAGCAGACGAGTCGACCCACAGAGACAACGTCCAGAAGTTGTCTGAGTGGTGCTCCAAAAATAACCTGGCACTCAACACGAGCGGAACCAAGGAGATAGTTATGGACTTCAGAAGGCACAGAGACGACCCTGCTCCTCTCTACATGAGCGGTGACTGTGTACTGAGGGTTTCCACCTGTAAACTCGTGGGAACACACACCTCAGAGGACCTCTCCTGGTCTGCCGACACATCAGCAGTGATGAGGAAGGTCCAGCAGCGCCTGCACTTTAAGAGTCCTCTGTAAGAGCAGACTGGAGGAGAAGCTGCAGGTGACCTTGTGACCACTGAGTGTGTGGGTGTATGGCGCCGGCTGCTCAGCGGCTGACAGGAGAGCTCTGCAGAGGGTCACAACAACCCTGCCCTCTGCCCTCCCTGGAAGACATCTCAGGCTCATGGTGCCTCTGCAGAGCCAGGAAAACCATCAGAGACCATTCTCACCCTGGACACCACCTGTTCAACCTGCTGCCCTCTGCGTGGCGCTGCAGGTGCATCAACAGCCGGACAAACAGGCTCAAGAACAGTTTTTTTTACCAGCATCTGCTGAGCACTTTAACCTTTAACTCTCAACATCTAAATGCAACATCCTATACTTTATATTAAGGTGCAAAGAAAATGATTCATGCCTTTATTTCAAGCCAACCCGACAACTGTAATGCAGTTTTTACCGGCCTCCCAAAAACACCACTGACAGACTCATTCAAAACTCTGCAGCTCGGCTATGAACCACATCAGACCAGTCTGAGCTGCTCTGCACTGACTTCCTGTTACATGCAGAATTGATGTTAAGCTCCTCCTCCTTGTATACAAAGCCCTACATGGGCTGGTTTACTGGAAGATGATCAGGGATGCAGCCGTCGTCAGTGACGCCCCAAAGTTACACACTACCTATAGATATCAGAGAAGCTGCTCACTAAATATTTTTAAAAGAAAGCTAAAAACGCATCTGTTCACTTTAGACTTTGGCCCCTTTCACACTGCCAGATATTCAGCGAATGTTGGGCCGTTTTGTCGGCAAGCTGCGAGCGTTTAGACACACAGAGCCGGATTGGTCAGTTGATCCGAGGTGCCCAATTTTCCGCCTCGTAGTGTAGACATATTGGTGGAACCCTTTTAGTTTAAACAGACCGAGGCGGCCTTCTGCAACTGGAGGGGCTGTTGATGACTTGTGGGAGGAGCTGTTGATGACTTGTGGGAGGAGCTGTTGATGACGCTGCACGTGCGAGCCACTGGCGGTGGATAAACAGGAAACAGCTGATAGCAGGAATTAGCGAGCAGCTAGTAGCAAGAGGGAAACACAAACCTGACAGACACTGTAAAGATGAGCAACTGGGGAGACAAGGAATTGCGCGCCCTCCTTGTCCTCGCAAACGAAGAGGCCATTAACCGTCAGATGACGGGGACGGTGAAGAACGGGCCGACTTATGAGAGAATCACTGAGGGACTGACCAGCCGTGGCTTCCCTCCCACGTCACTGTTTACGTCACACGCTGAGCTACACGTTTTGTTACTTGCTCACGCCCCCCATTGCCCCGAAAAAGGCACATTCTGTATAAACAAAAGTAGGTAGGCGGCATTTTGCTGCACTCCCCGATTTTGTTTTTATACTGCCAATGCTGAAAAAACACTGATTGGACTTTCCTGCAAATTTGCACAACTCCTGTTTAAAAAGGGCTGATAACTCGCTCTGACTTTCCTGATCAACCCGGTCTCACTCTGATGCCGTCAAAATCTGGCCCTCGGGCAGTGACTCGCAGCATCAGACACCGACATTAAAAGCCGTCCTTTAACGTTGCTGTGATACACAGCCGGTCGCCTTTATAGTTTAACTGTGCTCTGTGGCATCAGGGGGAAACGCGGCGGGACAAGAACGAATGTTAAAGTGGCGAAAATCCAAGTAGGGTGGGCGGGAGGGATGGTGGATGGGTCCAACAAACACTGACGCTGTTCTTTTTTCTGAGGTCAGATGAGACTGTGTTGTCCTCACACAGGTCTGAAACTCTTTTAAAATCTAACTTTTTTTTATGATTTATCGTTTTACAACGCTATGATTTTATGAATCAGTTCATCCATGTTTTAAACGGTTTTAAATGTCCTTTTATATTGAATTGCTTTATTTCATGTCCAGTCTGTCTGTTTCCATGTGAAGCACTGTGTTTATACTGCCCTCATTGTAAAGACCTTTGTGCTGCATTTCATGTATGAAAGGTGATATATAAATAAAGTTTATCATTATCATAAAGAGCAATACATGTCTTTTAAGAGCAAAATCTATCCCATTGTGCATGGACATCATTTTATAGTATCTATTTTAGTTTCATAACTGTGAAGAAGAGCTTGTTGTCTGTCTTCATTTGTCTTTTTACTTGCATTAATCGCACTGACCAGGTTTCGATGTACTTGTACATTGACAATAAGAGCTTTCCGAGTTCTAAGTATCACAATAATATGGTATCATGGGTCCTCTGGTGAATCCCAAGTGCTGTATGATGTGCTGAGACGTCCAAATATCCATCAAGAGAAGCCCCCATGTTGGTTTCTTTCAGTACCCTCACACTGATGTACATATGTTACGATCATGTCTGAAGAAAGGATTTTTATGTGAAGCAGCTATTTTTAAAGATATTTGTTTCATGTGACAGAAGGTTATATAGAGGTCGTTTCATGTGTATTATTGAATCTGTGCTCATTCAGAGGCAGTGTAATGAAGGACTGAATGATTTTAAAACAGTTCAGTTATTGTCTCATTATGACGATTTCTTTGTTTCCCGGGAACAAGAGGGGAGGAAATGACAACAAAACCAGAACAAAAATGTGATTTCAAACATCTGTATTGGCCCTGAATTTCACCATCGATGCATCTTGAGGAAAGTCACATGACTAGTTGTGACCTTTGACCTGGAGCTGCACCTCCAGCAGGGCATGTCAGTGTTTACAGTCTCCATCATCCTGTTTGTTTCTTATCGTTTTCACATTTACACCCACTCATCTCAGGATGGATGACACCAGGCTGGAATGTGACAGGTAGGTGCGTGTCTGTGTGAGGCAGACAGTGACTCAGCAGTGTTGTGTGTGTATATTAAACTGCAGTCAGTGAAGTAGGGCAGAGGTCATGATTTGGCACCACACCCTCTCTACTACAGGATGACTCAGTGTGATGTGCTGACAGGAAGAAGAAGTGCCCTTTGTTGAGATTGTTCACTTCTCGTTTCTCAACTTTAAACTGGCGTGCTCACTTTCAGCTGGCAGCGTCTCAACATTACATCAACCAGTACTGGATTTCTGATGTGGAAGTTTAAAAAATCTGATGATTTACCAGCTGAGAGTCATCTGAGCAGCGACTGCAGGTGGTCACAAGGGTCCTACTGGAATTGAAGGAATTATTAGCATGATTTTTATTTGACTTCTCTGAGCGCATTTTTGGGACACTTGGGATCCTCGAACACCCATGAAACTTTGCACACTTGTCAGGAGTGCTGAAAATAGATATCTGACACTGGTTTTAAGTTTGGGTGTGACAAATTGGCTCAGTAGCGCCCCCTAAAAGCCCCCACCTTTAACTTTCACATAGAGACGCACTTATTTGGTATGCAGATGTAGCACGCCAAGATTTCAAATTTTATGATGAGAACTGTTCTTTATAGAGGAGTCTCAGCCTGGAATGTGCTCCCTGCCAGCATTATACAGATTAATAATAGATATTCCTTCAAGAAGTCACTAAAACTAAAATTGTTAAATCACATGTGCAGTTTGTTTTGGCAGCTCTACTTTATTTGGTACAGTTTGTTTTTTACTCCTTCTTTTTGTCTTCATTTTGGACTGATATTCAGTGTTATCGTCTCACTGATGCTGCGTGATTTTAAATTGATGTATTTTTAATGGTTTCTGAGTGGACCCAAGGAAGAATAGCGACCACTTTGTGGAGGTAAAGGAAATGGCCACCTTAGAGTGAAAATACAGACAGTACTTACTGACCCTCATGCCGACAAGAAGTCCAGTGTAGTTTTTTAATCCACAAAACTCATTCGGGGGATCAGAGGATAACAGCTAGCTGGAATAACAGCTACACTTGTGCTGGAAGTGTAGCTGGAATGCATGGAACTAGAGTTGTACTGATACCGATACCAGTATCAGAAATGCCTCCGATACTGCCCAAAATGTGGTATCGGTATCAGCGAGTACAGCCTACGACCAATCCGATATCACGTAATGCCTCACGTCATTACGCATACGCACGCTACAGGCAAACGAAACGGAAACGGAGCATTTAAAAAGCATTCTACTGTAGCCTTTAAAATGTCTTTTTACCAAATTTTCTGGCTGCACTTTAAGCTGTGTCTTGATCTGTGTCAACACTGGATAATAGTAATAATAATAATAATAAAAGTTTTATGGCATTCATTCTACTATTATGTATTTATTTCTTAATATTTTACACAGAGTTTTATGAGTTGAGACATACAACAATTCATATCCCATCCTTTTTTATTTTACACGCTGGTATCGGAATCGGTATCGGGAAGGAAAAAGTGGTATCGGTACATCTCTACACGGAACCCACATTTTGACAATGTAATAAAACTCCACTAATGCATTTCAAAAACGGCTCGTCTGTCGTAATCCAAGTGCCCTGAAGCTGCAACATGCAAAACTGACTTGAAAAGACGTATTTTACTCCACTTTTATAGCATCATTTCTCACTGTGGTCAGTTAGCCTGCAGGCGTGCTGTGTTTACATAGCAACTTGCGCACGACTAGCTGATGGTTAGTGGCGGTGCTAGTTCTCCAGTCTCGCGCCTCTAACTGTTTGCTCTTGTATTTATCTGTTTGGCTATTTTTTGGTTGTTCAGCACTTAAGTCAACTGCAGTTGTTTACAAATGTGCTCTACAAATAAAGTTTGGCTTGACTTGAATAGATGTAAAGAGTGAACGTTAATGTTTCTCACATCTCATCTGCACCATCACAGCGTCATGACGTTTGAATGTCACAGAGGCAGATGGCGTCATCGCTGTGAAAACTTTTGAGAATGTGAACTTCACAAAATGTCAAAATTATCAGCCAGTTTATAAAGTTTGAATTTATACAATGAGCTAACCAAAGAACCCGAGGGTGTTTTCCATTTTAAACAAACTCAGGTCTGTTTGCACAGTTAGAAATAACATCTGACACATGATGAACTCACACAGTTGATCCATGATGAGAATCTCCCGTTCCAGCACATCCCAAAGGTGCTCTATTGGACTGAGATTTGGTGACTGTGGAGGCCATTGGAGTACAGTGAACTCATTGTCATGTTTGAGATGATGTGAGCTTTGTGACATGGTGCGTTATCCTGCTGGAAGTAGCCATCAGAAGATGGGTACACTGTGGTCATAAAGGGATGGACACGCTCAGCAACAATACTCAGGTAGGCTGTGGTGTTTAAACCATGCTCAGTTGGTACTAAGAAAATCTCCCCCACACCATTACACCACCAGCAGCAGCCTGAAGCGTTGATACAAGGCAGGATGGATCCATGCTTCCATCTGAATGTGGTTTTTCCAATCTTCTATTGTCCAGTTTTGGTGAATTGTAGCCTCAGTTTCCTGTTGTTAGCTGACAGGAGTGGCACCTGGTGTGGTCTTCTGCTGCTGTAGCCCATCTGCTTCAAGGTTGGACAAGGTGTTGTTGCTTCAGAGATGCTCTTCTGCACACCTTGGTTGGAACCAGTGCTTATTTGACTTCCTGTTGCCTTTCTATCATCTTGAACCAGTCTGGCCATTCTCCTCTGACCTCTGGCATCAACAAGGCATTTTGGCTCACTGGATATTTTCTCTTTTTGGGACCATCCTCTGTAAACCCTAGAGATGGTTGTGCTGAAAATCCCAGTAAATACTTAGACCAGCCCGTCTGGCACCAACAACCATGCCACGTTCAAAGTCACTTTAATCACCTTTCTTCATCATTCTGATGCTCCGTTTGAACTTCAGCAGCTCGTCTTCACCATGTCTACATGACTAAATGTTAATGAGCTGCTGACACCTGATTGGCTGATTAGCTTTTTCCGTTAACAAGCAGTTGAACAGGTGTACCTAATAAAGTGGCTGGTGAGTGTATATGCTTAGTTTCTGTGTGTGCTTCTCCAAACTTCTCCGGCGAGCTGAACCCCACCTACTGTAGGTCACACACTGACTGTGGATCAGTAAAACATAACCTGTCCCTTTGAGAAGGTAAAGAGAGGAAGCATGTTTGTGTGTGTGTGTGTGTGTGTGTGTGTGTGTACCTTAGTGGCAGGTGCTGCTGTATCTTGGTGATGAGCCCCATGCTGGGATCCGAGCGCATGTACATGGTGGCCAGGATCGCTATGACGACAAAGAGCCAGGAGGAAGGGCTGGCTGGGTACACTCCTTTAATCACGCTGTTCTGTTACCACAGAAGAAGAAACAAAAGGCACCAGGATCAGTGGAACATGTTCTGCTCTTTAACACCGAGGAAACACAGCTGAGAGGTTATTTAGGTTCACAGCAAACATTTAAATCACTGACACTTCCTTTACATTTAATCCCACATATATTTAAGTGTCTTTCCAAAATGTGTGTGAGTGCATCACATACATATTCTTATCCACTAGTTACAGTTATAAAAGTTACAGTGCATGTGTTTGTGTGTGTGTGTGTGTGTGTGTGTGTGTGTGTGTACAGTGAGGTCATTGTTCAAACCCAACATGTTTAAACAGCTGTCCTCACATACAGAACATTCCCCAAAAGGTAAATATGCTACATTATTATCTCTGTAAACCTTCAGATCTTTACTCAAGAAAACAAACATTTCTGTGAGTCTGAGCGTCGCCTGTCATCACAGCACTCACCTGCACAGTCTACCTGGACAAGTGAAGAAGGAAACTTGTTTCTAAGACACTCACTGCACGTATGACCAGCTGAGTCTCTGTCACCCAGCAGGGCCAGAGATTCAAGTCAGTGCATATCAGAGGAGGCTCTTCACTCCTAACCTATACTGAGGGGAATTTACAGCCGGTGATGAGGCCGCACACAAATAACATCCTGACTCACCTCCTCCTCAGGTGGAAGCAGAGCACAGGTTACATGTTGTACAGGTTGTAAAATCCTCTGTGATAAATCTGGGACTTGAAGAGGGGCAGGAATTACCAAACATTTGTAAAATGTCTAAGCTGGTAAAAAATATCTATATGTTTGCACCACAGACAGCTGTTTGTTTTTTCAACTTTGCAAAAGTGTTTTAAGATGAATCTATCCTGTCATTTATGCTGCGTTCAAGTGCACCTCGAATAGCCCTATTTCCTGAGTTGGGAAATCGTTCTTCCGACTTCGGTTTGTTCATAATATTTTAAGTTGTAATATGGAAACAACATGAACGCTGCAAAGAAGATGAAGGGCTCAACAATAAGGATCGCCCGAGGCCAGTACATCCTGCAACTCGCTTGCCAAACTGGGCATATGGTAAAAAAATAAATAAACAAACACATTATTTTTTCCTGCAGCTGATGATGAAGTAGAGAAGTGAGTATTTTGCCTCTTCCTCATCTCTGTTGAGAGTCACACATGTGCAGTACCAATCAGGCTGAAGCTCAGGAGTTCAGTCAGGTGGCGTGAGGGCAGGGTCGGGTACCAACAGAATTACATCAGTGCTGCAGAGTACCGATGTAATTCGATGTTAAATCAGTGCCACATTTTGGGACAGGAGTAGGAAGCACTGCAAAGCACCCTGAAGTCAGAAGCCAACCATGGAGCTCTGTGGGTGGAGACAACGGAGCTCAGAAAGTGGGCAGAAGCACCGCAAACTGCCGCCCGCAGAACTCCACGGCCAGCTTCCTGGCTTCTGGGCACTTAGCGTATCAGATATCAGCAAAAAATCCTGCATCCTTACATTCATTCATTAATCTACTCATTATCTGGAACCGCCTCTGCTGGTGCAGAGTCACAGGGGGGCTGAAGCCTTTCCCAGCTGACACTAGGCAGAAGGCAGAGAACACCCTGAACAGGCCAGCAGACTCACAGAGCTTATAAATTACATGTGAGCAAGAAATTTATATGTAATACATGAATTTCTTTCCATCAACCAAACATTTACTTTTATCCCCCACGTTTCTGCATGTATGACGTCAAAGATGGCAAGTCGTACCAAAATTCTTGCCAACTTTCCGAGTTGCTGTTCTGATTTGAGAAGGTGTTGAAGTGAATTTTCCTTGTCAGGAACTCATTTTTTTGATTATTTCAACACCATATGCACAAGCTAATAATCATGTCTGGGAACCATGACTCAGCATAACCCACACCTCCTCTCACTGCTCTGACTGCATCAGCTCAAACCCAATTATCAGACCTCACATCTGGTTAATGCATAAATAAAATCTGATGATTGATTGATTGACACTATAGAGTGGTCCAATTAAGGAAATCCTAAACATAGAGACTTCTTATGATAAATGAAACTGTTACGGTAAAAACATTACCTCAGTGGTGACAGCATACATGTTAAGGGCCCGTCCCAATACCCCCCCTTAGCCCTACCCCTACATTTGCGCATTCCTGCGAGGGGTAGTGGTGTCCCAGTTCCTTTTTGCGTGCAGGGGTAGGGGGCATAACGATGAAACTAGCCCTTCAGAGCGAGGGATTTCAGATGCTGACTTGCCAGAGAGGGGTAGACATCGCCATGGCTACCACCGAGCAAGAGACGGGGAAAAAAGTTCATACATAGCTAACGTTGAGACTCCATTGTAGATGCCGGTTGGAATTGTCGATGGCTCGCAGCTTCCTGTTTAAAATGGTTACGTATGCGTGAACGTAACTGACACGATGACGTAGTGAGTGGTGTCCCAATTCCTAGGGAAAGATTTCTACCCCCACCCCTCGTTGCTTCATTTTCAGGGCCAAGGGGTAGTGGCCAAGGACTAAGAGGTAGGGCCAAGGACTAAGAGGTAGGGCCAAGGGCTAAGAGGTAGGGCCAAGGACTAAGAGGTAGGGCCAAGGGCTAAGAGGTAGGGCCAAGGACTAAGAGGTAGGGCCAAGGACTAAGAGGTAGGGCCAAGGGCTAAGAGGTAGGGCCAAGGACTAAGAGGTAGGGCCAAGGGCTAAGAGGTAGGGCCAAGGACTAAGAGGTAGGGCCAAGGGCTAAGAGGTAGGGCCAAGGACTAAGAGGTAGGGCCAAGGGCTAAGAGGTAGGGCCAAGGACTAAGAGGTAGGGCCAAGGGCTAAGAGGTAGGGCCAAGGACTAAGGCCAAGGGCTAAGAGGTAGGGCCAAGGACTAAGGCCAAGGGCTAAGAGGTAGGGCCAAGGACTAAGGCCAAGGGCTAAGAGGTAGGGCCAAGGACTAAGAGGTAGGGCCAAGGGCTAAGAGGTAGGGCCAAGGACTAAGAGGTAGGGCCAAGGGCTAAGAGGTAGGGCCAAGGGCTAAGAGGTAGGGCCAAGGGCTAAGAGGTAGTGGACAAGGGCTAAAGCCTGATTTATTGTCCTGCGGTGTACCTACGACGTACCTACGTCGTTGCCGTGACGCCGTCGTGAACCCTTCGAAATTCTCCATCACTCCATTTCGTCGCGGTGCAATTCACCGCCAGAGCGGTAGGAGGCTGCGTTCCTTTCCTGAATGGTTATCGTCGTCTCTAGTTGATTCTTTGTTTAGCTTCCGACTTTTCCGGTCACAGAGAAATGAACACGGAGCACGGACAGACGGCTCCGTCCGTATCCGTATTGAACATTGAGCATAAATGGGCCTTAATACTGCAACATCTACATCGCAACAGAAGATGTTTAAAGATGGCGGAGATGGCGCAATCTGGAAATACGGAACCGGAAATGCGTTGCTACCAAGCAAACCAATCACAGCCCTCTCGGTCTGCGCTGGGTCTGTGTCGCCTCGACGTGTAGTTACATTTTTGGGGAGGTGCACGTCAGGCTACGCCGGGGGCTACGGCGAGCCTTCTGCGTAGCCACGTACCCTACGACGTAGCGACGTCGTTGATTTAACGCAGGACCATAAATCAGGCTTAAGGGGTAGGGCCAAGGGCTAAGAGGTAGTGGACAAGGGGGGGTATTGGGATTGGGCCTAAATATACAGATGCACACACACACACACAGACACACACAGTCGTCTCCTCACCCTCATGCGGCTGACTCGCTTCTTCCAGGATCGGACTCCGGACAGGTAGATCTGGTTCAGGGCCTGATAGGACAGCTGCAGGTCGATCCCCTCTGGAGTTATGGTGAACTGGAACGCCACCGCCTGATGGGCCTCCGCCATCGCTATGGAAACACAAGTGACCAAAAATGTAAACACCAACATCACACCTTATATTAATCAATTATAAATAATTTATTAGACTTAAGACAGTAACGTCTACATACGACTCATCGCTGCGGAATGTACCAGAATATTTTTCCTTTTTAATGTGTGTGTGTTTCATGACTTAAAGGGACAGTGCGTAACTCTGGAGAAAGACAGCTGATAGTTGAGTCCTACAAACGTACAGCTTTAAAATATTCCTCACTTCAGTGGGACTGTGGCAGAGAGTACGTCTGATTACAAACAGGATTTATTAACCTGTATAGAATTTGTTTTGTGGCACAAACAGTGTGGAAGATTGAGTTTCTGAGGCTGCAGGCAGCGCAGTGTGTTTGCTGTGTCTCTCTTGTATGAACGCTCTGTGTGACAATACTTGAGTAATTTAATGTGTCAGAGGAATGTTGTTGTGTCACTGGATCGAGCTGCAGCACCCAGAATACTGAGTGAGAGCTGCTCACGCTGCAACGTGTTACACAGAAGGTTTAATCAGAAGACTTACAACTTTATTTTTTGGTCGTTTTAAATCTGCTTCTGTCCAAAAATCATTCATTTAGCGTGTATCCAGGAAGTATCAGGTGCACCTTACAGAGTGAATATGAACATGTCTTCACACTGCTGACTGTCAGCTGGTTGACAGAGGTTATCAGGACAGATTCCTGCTCTGTATCTGTGACTGACTGACTGTTAGAGCAGCGAGGCGAGCGCACTGTGCAGAGGTAATGATGACACTGATGGAAAGTGGTTCCTCTTTGTGGCTTTGTGGGTTCATTTCAGGAAACTCAGAGCTGCGTGCAGTCAGTAAAGAGTATTTGCCTGAGGACAGTCAGTTGTTGAGCAACCATCAGCGTCAGTCTGACATGATGAATTATTTATCACTTATGAGCAACGAGCTCTGGCTTCATACCTGCAGCTAAACAGCATGGAGAGAATGTGTGTCACTAACGAGTGGATTCAGTGAACTAACTGGGAAGACTGTGAGGTCACAGTGACCTATGACCATCAAATTCAAGTCAACGTTTGTGCTGAATTTCAGTAAATTCCTTGAAGGCCTTCTTGAGAGGCAGAATGAGACGGACACAAGGTCACAGTGACCAAAATCCTCAGTTTTATTATCCTGACCTTCGCAGAAAAACAGTCCGCTGCACTTCAGAGCTTTTTCTGGGAAAAAGAGCTTCTGTGGACGCTACACCACGACTGTCAATAAATCAACTTCACTACTGAAAAGCTCTCTGACTCAGAAAGTAGTGACATCACCACCACGCTACTGAGAAAGTATTTCATCAGTTAGACTGCCACTACTGCCCAACCACCAAAATCTAATCAGTTCATTGTTGGGTCCAAGTGACGTTTGTGCCACATTTGAAGAAAATCCATCAAGATTTTTTCAAGATAATGCATTCACAAGAACAGCTACTTGGAAAATGTAGTGAGTTAAGCTACGAGAAAATGGCTAAAGTAACTCAATAACTCATACTTTAGTCTTTTTTTTTTGTTTTGAAGACTTTGTGACATTTGATCGTATCCTCCAATAACGTGACATCATTAGTCGGCCTGTTGCTGCCTCTCTTTCTCTCTCCTCTTTCTCTTTAACACATGTCTCTGTCTCGGCCTCTTTCAGTCGGCTCTCTGGCTCCGTCACTGACTCAAAAACAGAATTCTAAAATAAAAATCATTGCTAAAAAAAAACAAAAAACACTGCAAATAAAAGACAGTAATATAAACAATAAAAATAACAGAACTAAAGGAAAAGTTTTCTTTTTTGGGTAAACATGAACATGTCCTGCAGATAACACGTGACATCACACATAAGTGCATTTCCATTAACCCGAGAAATGCGCAAAACTTAAATATCGCAATAAAAAACTGGTGATGGAAACACCTACATTTCGAAAAAACTCTCAAATATCGAGAAAAAGTTTTTACGCTCTCATGAGGTGGTTTTTCAGACGTGTCGATATAGAAGTATATCGCAAAAGTGTAATGGAAACACTTTTTCGCAAATATACGTCACCGGACATTCAATTCCTCTGTGAATTCCTGGTTCATGATCCTCTCCCAGAAATCCTTTATCCGTGGTCGCTGCCACACATAAGGACTTTGCCTTTGGAATACCACTCGCTCTTTTCGTCTTCAGTTGTAGACTACTGCAACGGCAGCAGTGGCAACCGATAGAGATGTATCGATACCACTTTTTCCTTCCCAATACCGATTCCGATTCCTGAACCTTTGGTATCTGCCGAAACTGAGTACCGATTCCGATACCAGCGCGTAAAATAAAAAATGGATGGGATATGAATTGTTGTATGTCTCAACTCCTAAAACTGTGTGTAAAATATTAAGAAATAAATACATAATAGTAGAATGAATGCCGTAAAACTTTTTTAATTATTGTTATCCAGTGTTGACACAGATCAAGACACAGGTTAAAGTGCAGCCACACAATTTGGTAAAAAAGACATTTTAAAGGCTACAGTAGAATGTTTTTTAAACTCCGCTCTGTTTCCGTTTCGTTTGCCTGTAGCGTGCGTATGCGTAATGACGTGAGGCATTACGTGATATCAGATTAGTCATAGGCTGTACTCGCTGATACCGATACCACATTTTAGGCAGTATCAGAGGCATTTCCGATACTGGTATTGGTACAACTTAAGCAACCGAGATGATTGTTCCAGCTCGCAAGAGATTTGAAATATCCATCTTACTTCCGCAAACAAAGTGGAGTCTCGCGGGACGAGATTTTACGAGAACTACGACTCATACGCAAAACACCTTTTAATGGAAACACCTGCAAGTTGCAATTGTACTTTGTTGAAACTTTAGAAATAACGCATTTATTTTGCGCAAAACTGTGATGGAAACGCGACTAGTATGTCTCTGTCTCCTCTCGTCCTTCATACTGTCCTCTTACTCATAGTGACGCTGCTGCCCACCACTGCATAAGAATGAGACAAACTCAAGGTCACAGTGACCTTTGACCACCTAACTCCAATCCGTTCATCATTGAGTCCAAGTGGACGTTTGTGCCAAATTTGAAGCTAATCCGTCAATGTGTTCTTGAGATATCGTGTTAACAAGAACACGGAAATCAAATCACGAATCAAACAGGATCAAACAGCCTCCTGCAGCACAGTCAACTGACACAACAGCCTCACACTGCTGCATGACATTAACATGATTCTGGGTTAAAAATATTTTAGATCAAGCTACTGCATAGAGCAAACCACATACCATATTTATCTCTAGAATAAAATCTAAGATTTTTCAGACAGGTGTGTATTTCTCTTTGCAGAACTATTAAGCTGAGTCTTCGTCTTTATCTTCGGGTGTTTTCATACTTGGAGTGACTGAAGGTTTTTTCCAGACGGTCATATTTTACTCAGATCGCTGCCGTAACATCACTTAACAGGCATGTCGATGTTATCACACGTCCTGAACACTCATGATATTTCCTGCAGCCTTCTGAAACCTTAAATGTCTAATTTTGCTTGAGGAAATTTGTGCAGTAGCATTTATCATTCAGCCTTCAGCAGCAGACAGACAGACAGACAGGATGTAGCCTCACCAATCAGTCACTGATTGGACAGTGATGTGACAGGCCTTGGTTTGTTTTTGAATTCCTTTGCTCCTTTACTTCCTGCGTTACTGATTCAGGGCGTAGACACCGGGCTGCCAGCTAAAACAAACTTTTCGTCACCGCTGCGCCGCTGACTTTTACTAGACAAACAGACAAATGACGACTGGGCAGAAACAAACGTGTCAGGAAAAAGATCTGAGAGCTGAGACGTCCCGCTCTGTTAACAGACACACAAACGCACAGCTGTCGTATGTGAACATATAAACGAGGCCTGGCAGTGGCACACGGCAGACGATGACATGACATCTATACAGTTACAGCCAAGTAGAAAGTAGGTCAGCATGTAAGCTCAGTGTGAGGTTGTGTGTGTGTGTGTGTGTGCAGACCTCCGTCATCTCTCCCCCTTCTCTCCGACAGGCCAACTAACGGACTGCTGCATATCTGCACTTCCCACAGATATTTCATACAGCTGGTAGCGTGTGTGTGTGTGTGTGTGTGTGTGTGTGTTAGTGAATGAAGGACAGACAGAGAGATGACTGAAAAAGACAGAGACAGAAAAGAGAGTGAAAGTGGGAGGAAGAGTGTGGGCATGCTAACTAGCTCACACTCGTGCAGCTGATGATGCTGAGATGGACGAAACGTTCGTGCGTTCAGGAGGATCTCTGGATGATTTACAGTCACACTCAGAGCTACAATCGCCGCCCCACAGCTGTATGCCTCCGCCACCAGTCAAGTTTCAGCCTGGTGCTTTGCCTGCTCACTGCAACTGTCACTAAATATCATGACACATCTCGTCAGAATGTAGCTCCAGTTTGTGTCTCTCATCTTCATCATGGCCATCACATACCAGTCAGTCACACAGCTGAGTGTCTGCTTCTCCTAAAAATATACACCTGGAGATATTTTTAAACCCCAGATGTCATTTACAACACTTTCTATTGCTCTCAAGGTGTTTCCAGAATCCTCACAGCAGTGTGAACTGTGACAGCTATTTTGGTTTTAGTCTCAGACTTGTGACAAAAATGTTTAAGTTGCATTTTAGTCAGTTTTATCCTTCGCAGTCGACAAATACGAAACGTTTTAGCCGACTTTCCGTCATTATGTTTTCTACATGTTTTTAATCTTTAAACTGATACAGTGAGGCTGACTCAAAAGACGTCAAAAACCGAGAACAGTTGTGCTTGTAATGATCTTCAGATGCCTGATGAGCGACTGGCTGGTAAACTCCAGTAAATAGTCTGCACCAGGATGTTTGGGTTGGTGCTAGTTGTGAGCTGTAATTCAGCAGTAAATAATCAGCCTTGTGTGTCTGACTGTGGATGGTGGAGCTGCTGAATGGATTTGTGGAGTTTGTTAGTTGCAGCGGTGGCTGTTAGCAGCTAGCTC